GCTGGATCATTGCTGTTCCAAAGTGCCCCGAACCCAAGATCCTCAACCCGAAACCCTGATCGCTAACCCTAAAAATAAAGTTTAGGGATCAGGGTTAGGGTTTAGGGTTTAGGGTTTTCGGGTTTAGGGTTTAGGTATCTTGGGTTCGGGGCACTTTGGAACAGCAATGATCCAGCTGCGATTGTAAGGGGACGATATCAATGTGGCTTTGCGTACATTACAGTACTACAGCATAGCTACACATCCATTATAGAATAGTTATAGTATACTTATTATGGCATGGGCATAGTATAGTTCTGTTCTAAAAATGGGTAGTCCTCCAAACGAGGGTCCCCTTTTAGGTCCCCAATATAGTAGGGCACCCTGGTTGAACGGCACCCTTGTAGAAAAGGACCCCAAAAGGGAGCCTAGTTTAGAGAACTACCCATATAGTAAGAGTGATAGTATACTGTATACTTACCTAGGCCCTAAACCCTGAAACCCTGAAACCCCGAAACCCTACCCTAAACCCTCAACCCTAAACCCTACACCCTAAACCCTAAACCCTCACCATCACGGTATCACTCGAAGGCCTGATCGACTTGGGGCCGGAAGGCTGCAGTCGCGGGTGAAGGTGGGGGCAGCAAATGTCCGGCAGGCGACTCACCAAAGTCGTCCTTCATAGATTTTTCAGACCACTCGGAGGATCCAAAAAGTAGATCCCCTTATTTATGACCCTAACTACTAAGGGTACTTTATAGGAACCCCCTTAGGCGATCTATTTTTTGGATCCTCCCGGTGGTCTGGGCGTCAGGCTTACCTATAGGGGTGTAGGGTTTAGGGCTTGAGGGGTTCAGGGGTTGGGGGTTTAGGGGTTTAGGGTTTAGGGCTTCAGGGGTTCAGGGGTTGGGGGTTTAGGGGTTTAGGGTTTAGGGCAGTGCATCAGGACATCTTACAGACTTGAAACTAGATGGGCAGCTCTTTAGATTAGGGCCCCTTTTTCAGGTACCCACTGTAGTGCGGCACCCTGTTGAAAAGGACCCCAAAAGGACCCGAATTTAGAGACGTAGCCATATCGTGGACGAGCTTCTGGAGGTGCAGGCGATGGTGGCGGAAAGAGGTGGTAGTCAGAGGCTGCAGAGTCCGTCTTCCTGCACGGGAAACAGCCGTGGGTTTTTAGGCTTTAATGTAGGGGCCTTAGCTGGACCCCAAATGTATGTAGAATAGTTGCCTTTTAGAGGTTTCGGGCCATTATGTTACCTACTTTTGTAGACAAACATGGATAGAACTCGCTCTTTCGAAAACCCTTTCGAAACCTTATAACCCCGAAGCCGCCCGAAACGTTATAACCGTTTAACCCTAAGGCTTATGACCCTAAACCCTATAACCCTAAACCCCAACCCTTCTAACCATAAACCCTAAACCTGGTAACCCAAACCCTGAACCCTATAACCGTAAACCCTTAACGTTATAACCCTATAACCCTAAACCTCCTAACCCTAAACCCCAAACCCTAAAACTCTAGAACCTAAACCTTCTAGCCCTAAACCCTAAAGCCTGAAACCCTAAACCCCAACTCCGATAACCCGAAACCCTGAACCCTAACACCCTAAACCCAGAACCCTAAACCCTAAAACCCTAAAGCCGTACAGCCCTAAAGCCTTACAACCCCAACCCTATAACCGTATAACCCTATAAACCTATAACCCTATAACTCTAAAGCCCTCAAGCCCTAAAACCCTACAACCCCTGTAGAACACCTGAGCTTCATCATTTAGGGTTTAGGGTTTAGGGTTTAGGGTTTAGGGTTTAGGGTTTAGAACGCCTGAGCTTCATCATCCTCATGGGCTCGAGCGTGTCATCCCTCTGCCTCGTCCGAGATTCCCTTAGAGGCGGTCCGATCTTTGAGAAAAGAGGTCTGAGGGTATAGAGGGTTTATAGGGTTTGTAGGGCTTATAGGGTTTATAGGGGCTTAGGGTTTAGGGTTGAGGGTTTAGGGTTTTGGGTTTTGGGTTTGGGGTGTTGGGTTCGGGGTTTGGGGTTTAGGGTGAGAGCAGCAAGAAAGCACACGCGGATCTAGGTTCAAGGCTCGACCATCTTGCACAAGCTAAGGCGACCAACCCCTCCACGGCTTTGAAAGACAGCGGCTGCGGCCACTCAGCTTGGAAATGCGTGTGGAGGAATTTCGGCAGGCCCATCTGTGCTTCAGCGGATGAATGGCACGCTGATGATGATGGTGATAATTTTCATGCGGTGATGGCGATACCTGGGACGACCGCAGACACACTACGCAGCCTGCACCTGTCAAGAGCAGAGCAATCCTATTCTCTCGCCAACATCCTTCTCGCAGATCAGTTTCTCACCCAGACCCTTAGCTGCAAACCCAAAACCCCAAAACCCGAAAACCCTAGCCCAAAATCCAAAAACACTAAAACCCTAGCCCCTAAACCCTAAACCCTAAACCCTAAACCCTAAACCCCAAAACCCTGGCCCAAAACCCAAAAACCCTAAAGCCGCTCCCGGAACTGCCGAGGACCCTTAACGGAGCCCTGCTTGGAGCCATGCTCATGTGGAGCGTCGCGATGCTGTGCAAGGCTTGGGCCTCGGGTTTGGGGTTTAGGGTTTAGGAAAAAGAGGGGACTTAATACTTCCGAATCGGGCTTGGTTTAGGGGTTTAGGGTTTAAGGTTTAGGGTTTAGGTAGATTCTACTACAAGTCTAATCTCTGCAAGGCTTCCAAGAGAGAGCCTTTAGAGTTTCTGTCTTGAATTTGTATAGTCTGTTTGCGCATTTTCCAACGTGCTTTTAGAGCTTGATGAAACTTCTGAAGTGTGTCTCAAGGACTCTTGGGTCTTTTGACATAGCTATGTTTAAGACCAAGGCTCAACCCTGCGCGGGTGGGAACATTTAGGATGTTAGGGTGTAGGTTTGACCCCTAAATACTCACATCCCCCAAAAAGGCAGGAAAATAGAAGGATAAACTTTCAGATTACTACCAAATCATAAGAGCCCAACAAAGTTTAAAGGATAAACTTTCAAATTACTACTAAATCATAAAAGCCCAAGAAGTTTAAAGGTTGGGTATTGGAGAACTAAGACCGCGAAAGCTGCCAGAAGGGTTTACTATCGAAGTTACCATGCAGGACA